CCTGCTGATCTACGGTCATCACCTACGGACCGTGAATGAACCTACGGTCCGTAGATCACCTCCGTGAATGCCTTTCTTCTGCATTTCTTTCAGCTGTCTCTATACTTCCGCGCCTGAACATCTTTCCTGCAAAATATGATAAAAACACATCAGAACCAATATAAAAAGGCCCTAGACACACACAACTTGTAAGTGAAATGTATTAGAAATACCATAAACTCACGGTATATCAATATATGTGGACCATAGAAAGTCCCCACCTATAATGGAAAGAGGTTCTTTGTTATAGTTATGGATGACTACAACAGATACACTTGGTTGTTTTTTATCATTTCCAAAGCTGATACTATAGTGGTCCTCAGGAACTTTCTTACACAGGTTAAAAATGTATTCTCCATCACTGTTAAAACCTTGAGGACAGATAATGGTTGTGAATTTTTCAGTCATGCTTTTAAAAGTTTGTTGGGAGAGCTTGGCATTGTCCATCAAACAATTTGTGTGTATACACCACAGCAAAATGGTGTTGCTGAAAGAAAGCACAGAACCATCTTAAATATGGCCATGTATATTAGGTTTCAAGCGTCTATTCCTCTTACGTACTGGGGTGAATGTGTTTCCACTGTTGTATACATATTGAACAGGCTGCCTTCCAGAGTACTTCAGTTCACATCCCCTTTTGAAAGGTTATATATGCATCCTCCATCTCTGTTTCATCTAAGGGTTTTGGGTTGTCTATGCTATGCAGCATGTCCTAAAGTGTTGGACAAATTTTCTCCTAGAGCAATTCCTGCAGCTCTTATGGGATAATCTTCCACACAAAAGGGGTACATTTTGTATGATCTTCATGGTCATAGTTTCTTTGTTAGCAGAAATGTTATTTTTCAAGAACATTTATTCCCATTTAAGCATGCTAAGGTAGCATCCAATCCTATATTTCTAGTATTGGCCTTAATTCCAAGTGATGACAGTCATTGTGTCTTCCTAGAGGCTACTGATTCCCTTCCACATCAGATATCTATTGTGCCTGAGCCAGTACCTGAAGATTCCACTAGTCCTCCTTTTAATGCAACTACAACTCCACATCATCCTCCTGTTATACCAGCTGAATCAACTAGGCGATCCACCAGGGCCAGTAGACCTCCAATTTGGTTACAGGACTTTGTTACTAAGCCTAGAGGCAATACTTGTTTATATCCTTTGGCTGACCAACTCACATATTCTAGGTTTTCCACCTCCTATCAACAGGTGTTAAGAGCATACTCAACTATCTGTGAGCCTGTGTCATACAAAGAAGCTGCTTCTGATCCAGCTTGGGTGAAAGCAATGCAGTTGGAGATTGATGCCTTACAAAGCAACAAGACATAGAGTATTGTTGATCTTCCAGCTGGCAAGAAGCCAATTTTCTGTAGATGGATTTATAAAATTAAATACTTGTCCACTGGGAGGTGGAAAGGTTCAAGGCCAGACTAGTAGCCAAGAGGTTTAGCCAAACAGAGGGTCTTGACTATTGAGAAACATTTAGTCCAGTAGCCAAGATGGTTACTGTCAGATCAATTGTAGCACTAGCTGCTTCTAAAGGCTGGCACTTTGGAAATGTCCACAATGCCTTTCTCAATGGAGACCTCCTTGAGGAAGTCTACATGGACATACCTTGTGGATTTTCCAGACATAGGGAGAGTCATAAGGTCTGTAAATTACACAAATCTTCATATGGGCTCAAACAGGCACCAAGACAATGGAATGTGAAACTAACAGAGGGTCTAGTGAATATGGGATTCAAGCAAAGTCATTATTACTATTCCTTGTTTACAAAAATGGCTGGAAGTGAAACTGTGGTAATACTAGTATATGTAGATAACTTATTAATCACTGGAAACAATCATCAATTGCTGTGTAACACTAGACTGGAAATTCAATAGAAGTTCAAGATGAAAGATTTGGGGGAATTGAAGTTCTTTCTGGGCATTGAATTCTCTAGGTCCAACAAGGGGATAATCATGTCACAAAGGAAGTATGCCTTAGATTTGGTGTCTGAATCTGGCCTAGGGGGAGCAAAACCAGCCTGCACACCATTGGAGATCAATCAAAAGCTCACATCAGTCAAATTTGATGAGCACATTAACAATGGACCTGGTAAGGATGATGATGATATTCTAACTGATATTACAAAGTACCAAGGACTAGTAGGAAGGCTTTTATATCTTACTATGACAAGGCTTGATATTGCCTTCTCAGTATAGGTCTTAAGTCAGTTTATGCATTGTCCTAAACAATCACATATGAATGCAGCCCTAAGAGTCATCAGATATATCAAGAAAGCACCTGGACTAGGTCTCTTTATGCCTGCAGAAGATACCAATACACTAACAGCCTACTGTAACTCTGACTGGGGAGTATGTTTGGAAACCAGGAAGTCAGTCACACAGGATACTTGGTTAAGTTTGGAGGAGGACTCATCTCTTGGAAGTCTAAAAATTAGAACACAGTTTCAAGAAGTTCTGCTGAGGCAGAATTTAGAAGCATGGCTGCATGCACTGCTGAAGTAACCTGGTTGATTGGTTTGTACCAAGAGCTGGGAATTAAAGTATCCTTGCCAGTAAAAATGATATGTGACAGCAAAGCAGCAACACAGATCGCAGCTAATCCTATCTTTCATGAAAGAACAAAATATTTTGACATAGATTGTCACTTTGTTAGAGAAAGACTTTGTCAAGGGGTGATCAAGACTGAGCATGTGAACACTAAGGATCAACCAGCCGACCTACTTACTAAGAGCCTAGGTATGATGCAGCACAATGGGTTGATGGATCAGTTTGGACTAAAAAATGTATTTCAACCATGAGCTTGGGGGGGAGTGTTGATCAGTATAGAGAAATAGCAAGCTGCATGTATGAGTTAGTTAGTTAGAGTCATAAGTGTGTATATATATCTCAATAGCTGATGTAAGCCCATTCACGTGAATACAATGTAAAGGCAACTCTATGTGAACTCAATAAGATCGCTTCTTTTCTTCTCTTCTTCTCAACTCTTTCTCCAATCACTTAAGCTCTTAAGCTCCATCAATGGAGTTATCATTTTTTGTGCTCACTTTGTATTTCAATCTCACTTTTTATTTCAATCTCACTTTGTATGCCAACAAGTTTTGTATTTCTTTTATATTTTGTATTCATTCTAAAGGTATGTCAACAAGTTATATATTTTTTGTGCTCACTTTGTATGTCAACAAGTTTTGTATTTCATTTTTATTTTGTATTCATTCTAAATGTATGTCAACAAGTTATATATTTTTTGTGTTCACTTCGTATTTCAATCTCACTTTGTATGCCAACAAGTTTTGTATTTTTTAAAATTTTGCATTCTAAAATATTTTTCACTGCCAGCAAAAATCTCAAATCAATTGACTTCAATTCACCATAGATTGAGTATTATCAATGGAGTGTTGAAAATCGATATTGTAAATTTGAAGTATAAGAGAGAGAGAAACCATATCGATTTTTATTTGAAACGTAACTGAGGAAGAATTTCAATGATTTTTACCTTATTTGAAATATTTTCTCCATTTTGTTATTAACTAATTGTATCTTTTTCAAATTAAATAAATGAAAAAAATACATAAATCAGCAATATAAAAAATTAAAATATTGATATTTTTAATAAATATTGAAAGTGTGGGTACGAGGTCTTATTAAATGCTAAAATATTATTGTTTTGAATTTTTTTTTCCTTTTTATTATGGCTTGTTTAGAAAGCCACCCTGATAATAAAATTTGATGTAATTGAATATAATTACATTGTCTGATATATTTGGTTGACCATGTAATTATTTGGTCCGCATGTAATTGGGGTGTAATTGGTAGGATTTACACTCTCCGATCCATAAGAGTAGGCTGTGAATTGTTTGTAATTACGAGCTGATTATTTTTTAATTGCTTCCTTTTATTTCAATTTTATTTTTTTGGTTTTAATTTATTTTTTATTGTTAATATTTTAAATTCTTTTTAATTTTTATTATTCTAATGTTTTCTAAAAATATACTATTTTAGTATATATTATTTATATTTTCATTTCCTTATCATTCTCAACATTTACTTTATGTGATTCCAATTTTTCGTATAATCTAAAAAAACTAAAATTCATTAACATAATTTTGTTAGTATTCTCATTTTTAAATTAAAGTAGAATTCATGGTTGAATTAGGTTATGGACTTACATTTCCTTCTCTTTTTAATTATATTTATGTATGTGATGTTGAAATTTGACATAAGAGTATTATATTTTTTTTTTGTTTTGGATTTAGAAATTATGTAATATTTTCAATTTGATTTGTTTTAGGAGTATTGACTCGATATTTTATATTGCGAGCTATTTTTTTAAGTTAGACTTGATAAATTATCTTTTTGTCAAATAATTTTATAATTTTATGACATGATATTTATAATATTAACTCATTTGTCAAGCATGTATTTCATTATGTTCATAGAAATTTTGTGCTTTTAGTTTTTATGATTAATTTAATCAAAATATACTAATTTGAAAAATATAAATCAATTATTTATAATATTAGTTAATTTAATTAATATATTTTCATAAGACAATATATATATATATGAAATATTCAATTTAATATCATTTATAAATGCTCTTTTTGTGTAATATAAAATTTTAATTTTCGATAATTAATTTTTATTTTAAAATTTTAATATAACTTTATGATTACAATTGAGCAACCAAATAGTACACTTGTAATTACATTGACAAACAAATAGGTTACCGTAATCACTAAGTTGTGTAATTATTGTTTTATGAAAAAAAAAAGACTTAGTTTATAAAAAATCAATTTAACTTAACTTTTGAAGAAAAATCATTTTTTTAAAAGAGAGTCGCCACTTAATTTTTTAAATAAATTAATAAAACTTATAATTTTTCAAAAAACTCAAACAGAAAAATCATTTGAAAATACCAAAGGAGTTCGGGTTCAATTTACACTTCGAGAAAGGTTTAAGCATTTGAAGTGTCCGCTAGCGCGCGGTTGACCTACGACTTGACTAACTTTGAAAATTAGTAAATTAAATGAAGAAGATTTATTTAAAGTACAACTTGAAAGGAAATGAGCTTAAAATGATTTTTTATATTGACAAACAACGTAAATGAAATAAGTAACAAATAAACATAAATATTTTGATTAAACATAAAAAGGAAACGACTATCTTTGGAAAATTTGATTAGATTAAACCAAATTAAAACAAAGGGTTAGAGGGTTAATACAAGTCTACAAATAATAAATAAATAAAGGAAGGAAATAATTCAAACTTGGGCTCCTTGCACAAATTCAAATTGTTGGGACTGTCCCAAACCTATCCTAAACACTAAATAAAAGGATGCAACAATTTGACCTTGTTTTGGCCCAAACTTTTCTTTGAAATCTGTCCATTTTAGCCCTCTTTGTACTGTTGTTGCACTTGGGCATTTTTAGCCCATTTTCGCCCCTGTATATCATGTATACATTTATTGTATACCAGTGTATAGCAGTGTACTTAACGTATACAGTCCATTTTTTGGACTCTTCCAAGACCTGTTGTTTCACCTCCTGCCTTGTACACCTGTTCATCAGCTTCCAAAACTCGAACAATGATGACGGCCGATTCGCTAAAAAGAGGGGTGTTGGGTTTCAACCCAACTCCAAATGCAAGGAGTGAAGGAGAGGGTCCGATGGACCCAAATCAAGGAAGATCATGCATAAAAAATAAAATAATAATAATAAGAATTAGTAATTAATTAGAATTGGACACTCACTAAAGTAGCTAAGCATGTAAAATAGTAATAAGATAAATTTTCTCACAATAGCCTGAACAACATTTACTACACATTTGAAGATGACAATGTTGTGATTTAGGATAAGCACACAGAAAGAGGAAATATGAGGTAGAAGGTATCATTGTAGAGGAAACAAACAACATAATTTCTTTTAAATATATGACAGAACCAAACAAACTTAATAATTTTTTTTTTTTGAAACACTAACTAGAAAATCTAGCAATTGATACATTAATATCCCTTATTAGACACTAGCAATAACAACTGAATCATTTTCCAAACTGTCCACCAAATTTTATAAATTAATGACCAACCTACTGCAAATGAATTTTTGTCTCTCCAATATATTTCTTTTGATGAAATTCTCTCTGTTAATGGAAGGGGAGTATATATAGGAAGAGAATGGAATCGATTAGGGGGGAAAACGGATGGGAATTTGAAATTTGAAATTCGAATTCCTTCTTGACGATAAGGTTGAAAGATGGAATAGGTACAACAAATCTCCAATGGATTCAAGAGGAGAACCATTTGATTTGGAGAGGAAGGACAAA